CATGAGTGGTCCGTGTACAAGCAGATTCAAGTTCGAGATGGCTTTGACGCGCGTGGCTACATCTACAAATGGAAGTCATCCAACAACAAGCTCAACAAGCAGTTTGAGCTGTACTCGGATGTGAATGATGCAATCTCTGGCACTTCCAAGTGGAACAAATGCAACTATGATGACAACAACGCCGGGTTTGGTCGAGACTGCTGCTGCCGTGCCTCCAGCAAGTCCTTCGAGCCGAACAAGGGCGGAGGTGGCTGGGGTTTCTTTGCTCCTTCCAAATACCGAAAGAACATCCGTTGGTCCAAGATCAGGTTCTCCATGCCCATCAAGCCATTGTAAGGGGCCGAGAGTCTTCACCCTGCGGAAGTCTTGACCGGACCATGACAGTGGGATGGTACTTTGGGATGCGAGGAAAATGAAGCTTCCCTACGACCTCTCTTTTCTGCAGCTGATCATACCAAAACGCTACTCAGTGAGGTAAAGGAGCATGTTTTCTGGTATGTACAGTACACGCGTGTGTGAACCTCCTCGCAGGAGTGCCATGTAGCAAACAAGCTTGATGAGGCAAAGAGAACTGAGTGCGTATACGACCCGGTTCAGGCAGCGCTGCAGGCAGCGCTGAAGGCATTTTGACGTGGCGGCCCAAGTCCTAGAGCTTGGATCAAATCATTTTGGATTGAAGAGACACCTCGGCTTTCGGCGCGTTCAATTGCTCATGTGCGAGAGACTCTGCGTTGGGGGTAGCGAGAAGTACATCCGAATGCGATGAATGAGTACCTGGCTAGTCGAACGGGTTCCCCATAGACTACCCTATATGCACTCATGAACCGACAGGACACCGACGGATGAGGCAATGAAATCTGCTGAATGGCTCGAACGATTCCACCCTGCTCTGCTCTGCTCTTCCAGCAGGCGTCATGTAGACTCTTGATTTTCATAACGCCCCTCGCGTTAAAAAAACCTCTTCACATCGGATCTTGATTTTTTTTGGTAATATATCATATACCAATGACCAAAACACATGGAAAGCTTTCCACCAGGAAAGGTGAACGGTCAGCACCGTTCGTCAGCACCGTTCAGGGCGGACTGACCAGGTGACCTGGTTCACGGCCGCTGGTGATACCTCGAAGCGTGTGGGGCACCGTGTGGAGCACCGTGTGGAGCTGGAGCTCTGACGACGCTCACGTCGCCAAGTTAGATCTCGTGGTTTCACTTGTGGGGGTTTGGGGGGGTTCAAAGCACTTGTTGATCTTGTTTGGAGGCGCAGTTTTGTGAATGATTGGATCGTGTTCACGCTTCGTGAGTCGTTCAGAATCGTTTCGTTTTCTTTCGGATTTTGGCACAACGAGATCGCTCAAGCTGCGTGGCTCCACGATGGCCTTCTGCCGCTCGTGGCTTCGTTTCTGCTGCGTCCGGCCGCCACGCTTCGTTTGCTCCAAGGCCGACGCGCCGGAACGCCGGTTGGTCCTAGTGTGGGTCCCGGGTTCGAGTGGGGGGCGAGCGGGTGCAGCGCTGTCTTCTCTTGGTGCAGCGCTGTCGCAGCGATTGCGTGGGAGTGCGCATGCCCCAAGGAAGAGAGGCACCTGGATCAAGAAACCGAATGCCTGGATTTTGGTGTTTTGCCTTTGTTTGACATTGATGTTTAAACCCCCCTCTAGGCATCCAGGCAGCACGGCAGTTACGAGTAATAGACATGCCTGCCATAGCCTGAGAGGAGCTTGAAAAGTGAATGCAATCCGTTGATGGGGATTGGCAGATTAGACTGTTTGAACAGGTCATCAATTCTTCCGACATGAAAGACATGAAAGGCGTGTTTGTGGAGTAGCTTAGCCGGGTTATGGGTCTTAGTAGGTGAGCAAGAGGATACCGCAAAGAACGAGTGGTCAATGCGTTTTGTACGTCCAGCTTCACCAATAAATAGCATGGAGGCTTGTCTATGGCAAGGCTGCATTGAGGCTGGGCTTGTACTCAGGTATCACCAAGAATATCAGAGAAGGCTGGGAAGGAAGGAGCTATGAATCACGTGGAAGGACGTAGCCCACAGGGAAGACCATATTTATATATATATATATATATTTGAGTCAATGTTTTTGCATGTAAAGAACATCAACAAGTCAAATGAAGCATACAGGCTGACCAAGCAATTTGATATGTGGTGGTAGTGCAAATCCAGCATACCGGCTGACCAAGCAATTTGATATTGACAATATTGACATTGGCGCGGTTGTGGTAGTGCAAATAATTTGAATTCTTCATGGATTCCTGCAGTGAACATCTCCTGGTGAGGTGCTTCCCTTTGTCTATTGTCACTTCCTCGTGCAAGCAAGAGCTGTGTTTGTAGGGCAGAAGCCCTTGCCTCTGCTAGAAAGAGAGGCACTGGATGCAAAGAACGTCTTGACAGGAATGCTTCTCTTCGCCCACTTGTCAGGGTTTTGTGGATCGGACCGATTCCTGTGTAAATCGCTGATTGGGGGCGCAACCTTTGGGTGAAGAATGGCCTCCAACCTACTAGCGATGGCCTCCAACCTATTAGGGTGAATGAATCCCCTTCTGGGGGAAGATGTGTTCATGTTTTCCCACCCAAGGCCTTGCCACGCAGCATGGCAGCTCCAGGCGCAGCGCAGCTCCAAGGGACGGTCGACACCTCAGAAGAGTGGTTTTTCTTCGAAGACGTGCGGAAGAAGTGAGTCGAAACACCCATGAACGAACTCCCAGGCCTTTTCAGTTGATCGCCTCCAGAATTTTGTGCGTGCAGAGCTCGAGCTTCACCAATTCTTGAGATTATATACAGGATTTGAATGCTTTGCAAAAAGCGTGGAATCGGGCCTTAAAGCACGCCTTATTATCCTAAAAAAGTCCTTTAGGATCCTTTAGGAACTTGGAAGATCTGCTACTCTCAGACTGTGATAGAAGGTGTACCGGTTCGGATCACTCCGCTAAAAGGAATGGTTTTCGGGCACAGGCGGATGGGCATCAGTGTCGTTATGGAAGGCATGGTCCAAAAGAGAGGGCTCTAATATCCTGTGGCCCACCCACATGATCATCATGTTCAAGTGTCAATGCCTTCTCTTCAGGCTTCGTGTGGCTTTGTGAGATGGAGGAGTTTTTGTAGGAGAGGGCAGAGATGAACTTGAAAAAGGACAGGGCAGAGATGAACTTGAAGAGGACGTTTTTCTTTTTTTTAGAGGGTGGTTTTCTCAACCGGTGGCAGTTTGGGGAGGGATTGGAGGTTCAAGGAGCCGGAAACGTTCAGCTGGCCGTTTCTGCGCAAGAAAGACGCGAGGAGGTTTTGAGCTGCATACCCTCTTCGACCTAGGCTTTCTTTACATGGCTGTGAGTCAAAACCTGTAGCCTGTTTCACCCTGGTACATTGCCCTTCCTGCTAGTCACCTGGTAGTCTATTCTCTTCATTTTCAGTTGGAAAAACCAGGGTGTCCCGATTTTGACCCAGCACAACTGCCATGGTGCTTGGAGCTTCGACCATCGATCCAACTCTCTATGACGTGCTCCTTGAGCTGGGCCTGGACGCAGCAGAGGCGGAAGTGATGGCGCAGAATCCCTGTTCGTTCGAAGAGATCGGCTGCGAAGAAGGAGGGGAACCAAAAAACAAGGCAAGAATCTAGAATGACATTGCTGGTATATGGGCATTCTTAGCGATAGTGCCGCTGTAGATTCAGAACGAGGTTCACTGTTGGAGGAGGCCCATGTGGCTTTGTTGTGTGTACTTGATACGGCCGGTATATCGAACTCCAGCCCAAGGGAGGACGCCCAGCAGGTCCTGGCGGGGAAAGTTGAAGTGGGGAGAGTTGAAGGGAACGTGTCACGTCATTTGCAAAGCTTTGAGGTACTGTAGGTCTAGCTCTATTTTCTCCCTACTTTCCTGTCCTTCCTTCAACTTCTACGTCATTACTGTATATAGTCATTACTCTTCCATATTTTAGCTGTTCACTAAAAAGCATCTTCCCGTGTTTTTTTTCTACTCCTTTTCCTTTGCGCCTTCACAAGCTGAGGCAGTCGCACTACCAGGTTTCTCCAAAAAATATCGGCCTACCTGGGCAAAGGTGCGTGCCATGAGCCTAAAAGCCCTGAGATCACAAACATAGACCATGACTCTGACATGACCCCCCCAAACTTGAGCGGTCGGAGCCACCCCTCAAAAGGAAGATTCTGTCCATCCAGCGACTCGGGGGTGGAAGGAGTTGGGGCAGCTTCGTCAAGAAGACCTTCCAAGCAATGGATTTCAGTCAGATGTATCCTTTTTTCCCCAACAGCGGAAGCTTGGGGTCTCAGCCAAACTAGGCACTGGGGCACTGTAGGGCAGTCATCCGGTGAGGTTCCCTGAGGTTCCGAGTGAAGGTTCCGAGGTTCCAAGTAAAGGTTCCCAGTCAAGGTTCCGAAGGTTCTGAGGTTCCAAGCGAAGGTTCCGTGTCAAGTGTCCAAAGAGTTCCAAGCAAAGGTTCCAAGTAAAGGTTCTGAGTGAAGGTTCCGAAGGTTCCAAGTGAGGGTTCCGAGCTTCCAAGTAAAGGTTCAGCCAATCTGGGCACCCCAATGGCTTTGCCCCTAAATTTGCCGAACATGCTTGTGAGACAGGTACGCAGTGGCACTTGACACTGACATGCCTCCGAGTTTGGTAATTTTGACAAGCATAGACCCCAAACAGGTTCAAAACGATTCGTTTAGACCAATATGAGTCAATAATCGATTTCGCCCCAAAAGCAAATTGCTTCATCAATGAAATTTTGTCGGCATTGACATCGCTATTTGTTCGGCCACACCTCTCCAGTAAGCCGGGCCACAAAGACCAGCCACAGATTTCAGTGGCGCGGCCAAGACAAGGACAAGAGGAGGATAAGACCCGGACACAGCGGCCAAGACGAGGACAAGAGGAGGACAAGAAGAGGACAAGGCCCAGCCACAGAGCCCAGCACAGAGGACAAGAGGAGGACAAGAGCCCAGTAAGCTGTGCATAGCACATGAGCGCGTACGAGCGCGCGCTCGCGGAGGATAAGAGGTGGACACAGAGCCCAGCCACAGAGTTCAGGGGCGCGGCCAGTGAGTGTGGCCAGCTCTTTTCTTTCTAAGATAGAACCCCAACAGTAAACCCTTTGGGGAAAAAGAGTTTTCTGCTTTCAAGGGTGGGGCAGGGCGGCCGAATCTGAAACATCCATTTTGCCTCACTTGCTGTTGGGGTTTAACTCGGGCTTATTTGCAACTCTTTGACGACTTTTGATACAGGTCTTCCAGATTGGTTTCAAATTGAACTAAGTGTGCGAAGAACCATTGTTTCACTATAAGGGTCCTGGATTGCGAACGGTTCTTTTACAGTAATACTCTTGAAAGGGCTTCTATGGATATCGGTGTCGCTGTATGAATCACACCATTAGCACTTAAATCGGGAAGGCATCGTGTATATTTGCATATATTTGGCTAATTTGGCTAAAGGAATATGGCGGATATCTGCATCTCGGTGGCGGATCATATCTGTGTTCTCCGTCCAGGAGAGCTCATTGGCCTTTCATTGCATCGACGAGGTCTTCGGGGGCGACTCTCAAAGATGATTGCACAGTTGAGCTCCTTGGAATGGCTGAGACTGCATGAGAACCAACTGATTGGCGAAATTCCCAAGGAGCTGGGACAGCTGCGCGGCTTGAGGGCTTTGGATTTGGAGCAAAACGCTTTGACGGGCAAAATCCCCCGAGAGCTTTCAGCTTTGCGTCAGCTGACGCTGCTGGATGTGTCGTACAATCAGCTCACGGGCGAAATTCCCCAGGACTTTGTCTCTCCCTTCGCTGTTGTTTAGGGCGGCGAAAAAAAGGGTACCAAAAAGTGGATTTATATCATTGACGTTTCAAGGAGAGGGGCGTTTGTTTGGTGTCGTGATCCCGAAAAAAAGAGTTCTGTCCGAGTTGTTGAGGTGCCTCAGACAGGACTCTCGGTGGATATCTTTGACCAACGAAGTGTCGTTTTTTCTCCTCGTCCTCGCAGGAGCTGGGAGAGCTTCAGGGTCTCCAGTATCTCCGCCTCACCGCCAACAGGCTGAGCGGAGAAATCCCTAAAGAGCTGGGAGAGCTGGGCCGTTTGCAGGAACTGCGGCTCCATGGAAACCAGCTGAGTGGTGAAGTTCCAAGGGAGCTCGGCCGTCTAAAAGCTTTGGAAATGATGTTCCTGGGGAAGAACCAACTGCACGGTCCAGTACCGAGGGATTTTGGCCAGCTGCACGAGCTGCAAACGCTTGAAATGTCCTCAAACCAGCTCAGTGGTGCTATTCCCAACGAGCTTGGGCAACTGGAGTCCTTGAGGGAGCTCTATTTGTCGGGAAACCAGCTGACTGGAGAGATTCCCCAAGTGCTTGGAGGGCTCAAGCTCTTGCGACATGTGTTTCTTCATAGCAATCACCTCGAGGGCAGCATCCCCGCAGAGTTGGGACGGCTTCACGCCTTAGAAGACATGTTCCTCTACCAGAATCAGCTGAGCGGAGAGCTGCCCAAGGAGCTGGGGGAACTGCGAGCTCTTAAGCAGCTGCAGCTGGCGGATAATAAGCTGACAGGGAAGATCCCGGAAGAACTGGGCCAGATGCAATCCTTAGAACAACTCTTTCTTTCTGGTAACGAACTGAGCGGGACGATCCCAGAAAGCTTGCAGCAGCTGAAGTTCTTGAAAGCCCTGGAAATCAGCAGGAGACAGACCAAACATCGAGTTCATTTAACGTGAGCACATACAAAAACATGAAACATCAGTTCAGCATAGGGACACAGCACCTGTGAAGGGTTCTTCTCAAAGAACGGCTGCCAATTTCAACTGTCGAACCATCATGAACCATCATGAACCATCATCATCGACATCATCATCATCATCACCATCATCATCGTCATCGTCATCGTCATCGTCGTCATCGTCATCGTCATCGTCATCGTCATCGTCGTCATCATCATCATCATGATCCTCATCCTCGTCATCATCATCATCATCATCATCATCATCATCATCATCATCATCCAGGTGTGGAGACCTGCAGATGATGCCGGTGCTACAACACGTCTACAATAGATACAGGTGCTTAAATACAGGTGAAGACACATACAAAGCTCACCTACACAACATTGCTTCGACATGTTTCTAATCTTCTCTTAAGGCGGCGAGCTGGTCGGGCCGATGCTCACGAAAGGTGGCCCTGTGCGGACATCGTGCGTGTCGGACGCGCGAAACTGTGGTAAATATGCGAACGTCTTGAGCCTTGGACGTGCAAGTGGCCAAAGTGCGTAACTGGTGTCCAAGCATTTTGCAATTCAGGTCGAAAGTGGAAGTGGCCAAAGCGTGTAATGGTCGAGCGTGTGTAACTGTCCTTGAAAATGGAAGTTGCCAAAGTGTATGGCTACAGTCGGCAAAACGTGAAGGTGGAAGTGGCCAAAATGTGAAACCGTCATGGGTAAATTTCATCGAGAGACAAGGTGAAAGTTGCCAAGTGTGTAACCGTCGTCGAAAATCTGGAGGTGTCTGGACCCAGAACTGGCAACTTTGTACTACAAATGTAGCCGGAAAGCAGCTATGCGTATATGTAAACTTGGCCGGTGGTATGCGGGATGATCGGTGTTAAAGGGGCTTTGGCTGCAACTAATCTGTGGCGCGCGCTGTGGCGAGATTATGCCCGCAATGTCGCTGTGGCATGCGGATTGCCACGGGCTTGGTGGAAAGCGCGTTTGTGCGAGTCCGTGCCATTGGGGGAAAAGAAGCACGTGTGTGTAGACACGGCGTGTTGCTGGTGAGGGGGATGAGTGGTGATGCCCCAGCAGAGTGCCCTACAAGAGTGTCCCACAAGAGTGCCCTAGCGCAAATGTCAAGCAAAGGTGTTTTACAAGAGTATCCCACAAGCCTGCCCCACAAGATTGCCCCACGAGAGTGTCCCATAAGAGTGTCCCATAAAAGCGTCACACAACACTGCCCTACAAAAGTGTCACGAAAAAGTATTCTACAAGACTCTCCTTGCACAAGCCCACAACACTGTCCTACAAGAGTGTCCCTGCAAGAGTGTTGTGCAAGAGGGGTTCTACTTTGTCTTGGCATGAGCACCATTGTGATCGTTAGCAGGGTTATCACAATCTTCATCATCATCGCTGTCATCATCATAGTCAGCAGAATAATAATAATAATAACAATAATAATAATAGAAATAATAATCATCATCATCATCATCATCATCATCGTTACCTGTGTTGTCTCCTACTCTGCTTTCGGGCCACTCAGTCGTTTCGTTGTATTGAATTCACCGTGGAATTTGGTGGCAGGAACAAACTGAGCGGTCTTATCCCCAAAGACCTCTGCCGGCTGGCAAGTCTCGAGCTCTTGGGCCTCAGCGAGAACCAGCTCAGTGGTGAAATTCCTCCTGAGATTGGGCAATGTAAAGCTGTCGAGCGCATCTACCTGTACGATAATCAGCTGTCGGGCGAGATTCCTAAAGAGCTTGGTGAGCTGGAACGTTTGCAAGACCTTTATCTCGCCCGAAACCGGCTGAGGGGCGTCCTTCCCGACATTTTGGGTGGGCTGGCGAGTTTGCAGATGCTGAATTTGGGGGGGGAACCAGCTGTCGGGTGAGATCCCCAAGCAGCTAGGACAGTTGAAACACTTGGTGAAACTGGACCTTTGGAACAACAACTTCACTGGGTGCCTTCCCAAAGAGCTTGGGCAACTGCACCAGCTACAGGTTCTTCATTTATCGGACAACCAGCTGAGTGGAGTGATTCCAGAGGAGTTTGGGAAGCTCAAGGCCCTGAAGACACTCTCTATGGGCAACAATCAGCTGGAGGGGCCAATCCCCCACCTCGGAGATTGTTTCCACTTGGAGGATCTCTTCTTGGGCGAAAATGCTTTGAACGGCAGCGTGCCCCCAGAACTGGGTCGTTTGAGGGGCCTGCGGCAATTGCTTCTTTACGAGAATCGGCTGACGGGAGCTATTCCCAAGGAATTGGGGGGCTTGGAGGCAGATGGGGGAACAGTGTGGTACTGTAGGGAGTGATGCAAGAAGCAGGGGAGGATGAGAGGGGCTGCAGTGATTTTGAGCTTCATCTGGGTTCATTGGAATGCATCTTTGCCCTGTGCAGCTTTGTCTAGCCATGATCGCATCATGAGCCCACCTTTTGTTACACTCTCCCCACTCCCTGGCCCGCGCGACAACACTTCGAGCGGGTCACTCCCCCCGTGGGAGGCCTTGAGCGAACTCTTCCTCTCGAGGAATCAGTTGGAGCAAGAGATCCCAAAGGAGCTATTCGGCGAAGGGACCGCGGTGGAAGCGTTTGGAAGGTCGTGAAGCGTCGTCTTTGTCCTCCAACTGCTCCATATCATTGCGATGGTTCCTGTTCGTTTGCGGGGTTCGTTGGATGATTTCGCTGATTCAATGACCGTGTTAACATGGAAAACTGAACGAATATGGTCAACACGAATCTCAACTTGTATTCTAACAGTTCAATCGCAAGTTGAGACGCTTCAGAGAGCTGAGGCCCAACCCCAAACAAGATCACAGATGGACTGGTCATCTCCTTGGGTGCTTTTCAGATGGGTCAGGTGTTGTAGGTCCGGTGCCCAATTGAGGACCGTCCGGTGTCTTCAGAACCACCACTGCCCCAGTGTGGGGGGGGCGCACTGTTAGAGTGCCCATGATCGTCGGTTTGCTCGAAGAAAGAGTCCACAAAAGGGGGAGGGTGATTGAGTTTTGGACAGGATACAGACATTTTGCAATTGTTTTGCGTATAGGTGTTAGATTGTTGCATGTAGGATTTGTTTGTTCTCCCAATGGCCCTGAAGATTCTGTTCCTATACAAACTTGGCAAGAGGGACATGCCTTGCTGTCAGCTTCGCTCGAAACGCCACGCTGGTTCTGTTCGCATGTCGGGGGTATTTATTTTGAAGACCATTCTTCATTCCGATGGCAATGACAGCGAAGGTCAGCTTGGGCACTGCTGCCCCTAGTATTTTCACAGAACGTTCGTATCGTAGCAATCACAACGAACGTCATCCGTTTTCCTGTCCCAATGCCAACGAAGAGCATCATCTCTGAACTCTAGTGCTAAGAAAAGAAATATAAAGCACCCTAAACTGCCCCGGTGTGCTGAACCATAAGTAGTAAACTCCACATAGAACATCAGTGAAGATGAACCACTCGTTTTTGACAAGACCTATATAACACACCGTCGAAATGGACGCTGCTTTTCGCTGCTCCACGTCGCCTCGATATCAGGAGCTCGGGCAGCTTAAGTCACTGCGATATCTTCAGCTTGCACAGAATCGGCTCAGAGGGGAAATCCCCAGAGAGTTGGGGCAGCTGAAGGTGCGGTGATTCCGAATCGGCTCTGTGGACTGGGCCTGTGTTTAGACAGTACCAATCTGTCGCAGTGTTTGAATTCTTGAGTCAACTCCGGCCCTCACAGAAGCATCCTCGATCTAAAATATGTGCTGGTAGCTACTTGGTTTGGTTGAGGAGCGAAGATCCTGATACATAACTTCAAGAAACGATTATGATTTTTACACCAGCTTTCTTTCTTTCCCAGCAAGTCAGCAAGGAAGGAACACCAGTTTCCAGCTTTCGATTATATAGTGCATCTTTTTTGTAACTTGAAAAGACCAGTTTGCTGCCGAACCAAGAAGAACCAAGCCCTGTTCAAATGAACTACTCATAAAGATAGATGAGGGGTCAGTCAAAGCCTTGTCCAAAGTGTGTTGTCTATTTTTACATTTTGCGACCCTCTTGCGATCACCGAAGACAACTGTCCGTGGAAGCCATGCGTGCAGTTTGCGCGCCATGAACGATGCGGACGCTCATATACTTCCTTCACAGCTTCGCCCTTGAATCAAAGTGATGGCGTTTTTGGGCGCAGAACCCATCAAGCGCCGCATCAAAGCTGCATAGAACCCACTCAGAAGAACGAGGGAAAAACAGCACCTCGTCGCCCATGTGTCCATGTCCGGCGACCGCCGAACGTGTCGATTCTGCGCCATGCGTGGCGATCAGCGCCCGCCGCATGTTGCGGTGACTGGATCGCATGGTTCCGCCTCTTTTGCGTGTTAATTGAGAACAAGGTCAAGGAGTCAAGGAGATCCTGCCCAGAGTGAGCTGTGTGAACCAATCACAGCGACCCGTGTGGGGCATGTTTCGTGCCAGGCATTGTCAGGAACGGCTCAGCTCCAGAAGCCACTCTGGCTTCAGAAGCCACGTCCCAACGACTTCGCTTGTGCCAAATGCAGGTTCCACGTCCCAACGGACGCAGTCCGGCACAAACTTCTTGTCAGTTTCGCTGCAGCTGTGCCGTGCAGCTGCATCCATTCAACACCACAAGAAACTGACGCAGTGGACGCAACTGACACTCGGGGGACCTCGGACCGACGGGGGACCTTGATCCGGGACACCTGTGGAGGAAGCCATCTCATCCAACTCCCCCTCAAAGGCGCTTGGAAGGCAAGCTGACATATACATATACATAGAAACAAAAGTAAGATTCCCACTAGAATTATATTGGAACTCGTTTCTATCTATTTGGTATGGAACTAGTGGAAGAACCGATCCACAAGCTCCGAAAGCCCACAGCTTCCACCTTAAACCCGTCCAGCCAATCTACGAAGTCCTCACAGCCACACATGACACATGCTAGCAGGGTTTTAGTGATATTTGGTGTGGTGTGGATGGGTGCTGGGATGAGGGGTGGGCGTGGCAGGCTCTTGAGGTCTTGAGCCTGGACCAGAATGACTTCGTTGGGGAAGTTCCTAGAGAGCTGGCTCAGCTGGAGAATCTGAAGCAATTCTCTCTCGCGCAGAACCAGTTGACCGGCAGCAGCTACCGGATTTCCAGCATTTGGAAAAGCAACACTCAATTGGAGATTTTGGACTTAAGCTGGAATGCCTTCAGTGGAGACCTGGGGGTAGGGCTCTCAGTCAACTCTTTGAAGCATCTTCGGTATTTGGATCTCAGCCACAACAATTTTCATGGCGGCCTTGCTGGGCTCGTGGAGAGATTTTGCCAGTTGAGCCCCAAGGGTGGAGACCTGCAGGAGCTTCGTTTGAACCATAACGACTTCACGGGTGAGGTCCCGGCCTGTTTGATGCAGTTCCCGAAACTGAAGTTCCTGGCGCTCAACAACAATCGCTTACAAGGCCCGCTTCCGGAAGTGAATACTTCAGAGCTTGTGATTCTGGCCTTGCACAAGAATCAGCTCTCAGGTGTGCTCCCCAAAGGTTTGAAGCAGCTAAAGCACCTTGGAGTTTTGACCTTGCACCAGAACTTCATCGGGGGAAGCATCATTGATCTTAGCTTAACGACGCCGTGCATGGACAATGCCAAGTTCATCACTGGACCGTTACGATGTTGGCAGATCAAGCGGATTACGGGGCTACTTTCCTTCTTGGACTTGCCGATTGACCGCCGCGCGGTCGAGGCCAACTGCCCGACCTTATGGGATGGCTGCAAAGCTCTCAATGGTTCAGCCAATGTGACGCTGCACCGGAACCGTTTCTCATGCCAAGTGCCTGAGAGCTTGACCTCTGGGGTTCCGGTCACAGGTCTGGTGGTCATGGGAAACCTGCTGGGTGACGGGAGCGAGTTGAACTCATCTTGGATCCTGCCAGAGGAGAAGCAATCCTTTCTGTATTACTCCAAAGAGATTTGGAGGTCTCAGCTCTCTATCCTGACAGGTGCTTTTAGGGCATTTTTTCCGTGCCTGCGACGAGTTCTCTGTAAAGAACGGCTGCCGACTTCCACTGTCCAACCATCATCATCATCATCATCATCATCATCATCATCATCATCATCATCA